CCCCCCCACCCAAAACCAAACAAACAATTAACCAGACAAGCAAAAAAACCCCAAACAAAATAATAACAACAACAACAACAACAACAACAACAACAACAACAACAACAGCAACAACTCCCCCCCCCAAAAAAAAAAAAAGAATCAGGCTTTCTATAATTAGAGTGCATGTGTTGAGTAATCGATCTAGTTAAAATGTTTAAAAATACTTTCAGATTACATCAGTTCCCAACAGAAGAGTAAGTCAAAGATAGCGTTGCAGTATCTGCCTTTGCGCTAAAAATTACAAAGCAGATTTGACCCACCCTCCTCCCGCAACGTGGTCGTCCTCACAGACGCTGTTTCCGTAGTACAAGCCCTTCAAACAAACACTGGCAACTATCAATAATGACTAATATTAGTCAACAACTATCGCAAACCCCTGTAAAATCATCACAGTTTTGCTGCAGTGGATACCATCACACTGCAACATATTGGAGAACGAAACAGCCGATTCCTTGGAAAAAGAGGGGCCTCGGTCAGAGCAGAACAACAAAAGTCTTTCTCGAAGGCCAAAACCATAACGAAATTGGAGCAACAAACAAAAGAGGAAGGGACTACACCCACGCTACAACCAGGTTGGCACATAAAAAAATAGTGCCTCCTCAGCCACAAAGTGCAACTTGCTCTGTTAAGACTCAGAATTGGACATAACCAACTGAAACACACACTTCTTCACGAAGTTCAGGGTCAGCAATTCAAAGCAGTGTCAGGGCAGAGTCGGCAGCCAAACAGAAAACCATTTAGATTTACTACAAGACTGACCATTGCTCGAGGCACTAAGAAGGAAATATTGGCCCAATCTTAGGCAGGTATAGACGCCAAACTCTGGAGGACCTGCGGCTGTCTGTCCATCTGATCCTCAGTAACTTTCTTAGACACCTGTTCAAGAAAACCTGGATCCTCTTTATACAAGTCTGTGATGTGTTCCATGCCTCACATCCATACAACAGGATCGACTTCACATTTGAATTGAAAATCCCCAGCTTTGTTCGAAGTGAGACATCTCTGGTCTTCCAAATCCTATCCAAAGATATGAAAGCAGCACGTGCTTTTCCAATGCGGGACTTTATTTCAGCACCTGTTCCTCCCTCTCTGTCAGTTATGCTCCCATGATAGCAGAAGGATTCAACGTTTTCGAGGGCCTTTCCTTCTATTGTGACCTGCTCCTTTCGTTGTGGACCCCTCCTTAGGACCTTTGACTTTCCGGGGTGGATTCTCAATCCAACAGACTCCGATAGGCTGTTTAATACTGAAGTCTTTGCTTGCATCTGTTCTTGGGTGTGCAACAGAAGCGCCAAGTCGTCTGCAAAATCCAGATCGTCCAACTGTGTCCATGGTGTCCACTGTATACCATTTCTGTATCCTCTGGTGGTTTCCTTCATCAGCCAGTCGACTGCCAATATGAAGAGGAACGGTGATAGTAAGCATCTCTGTCTCACACCAGTCTTGATGTCAAAGCTGTCAGTGAGCTGGCCATCATGTGCAACCCTGCAACTTGTCCCTTCGTACATGCTCTTGATGAGGTTCACCAACTTCTGTGGGATTCCGTGGTGTCTCATTATCTTCCATAGCGTCGCTCGGTCTATATTGTCAAAGACCTTCTCATAGTCAAGGAAGTTGACAATCAGCTGGGAGTTCCACTCCAGGGACTGTTCCACAATAATCCTCAGCGTGACAATCTGGTCAGTGGTTGAGCGATTTTTCCGGAAACCGGCCTGTTCATCCCGTAGTCTTGGATCCGTTCCTGTCTTGATTCTCTCCAGAATGATTCTGTTGAAGACCTTACCTGGTATTGAGAGAAGAGTGATCCCTCTGTAGTTGCTGCAGTTGCTGAGATCCCCCTTTTTTGGAAGCTTCACGAGGTGTCCTTCTTTCCAATCCTTTGGGAACTTGCTCTCATTCCAGATCCTGGTAAACAGTGGGAGGAGGATGTCTGCCCTCACATTGGCATCTGCTTTTAGGGCTTCAGGTGGAATCTGGTCGGGACCGGCCGCTTCACCTTTGTTCAGCTTCTTAATGGCATCCAGAATCTCTTGTTTTGAAGGAGCCTCACAGCAGATATGTAACTCATTTCTTGCTTGCAGTATGTTTGGTGGGTTACTCGGTGGTGGTCTGTTCAGGAGACTGTTGAAATGCTCTACCAATCGTTTAGACTGAGCTTCCTTTCCAAAAATGCTTTTCCCCTCTTGGTCCAATACAGGTACTTCAGGTTTCCCATATTTTCCAACAAGTGTCCTTGTGGTCTAGTAAAGGATTCGCATGTGCCCTCCTACCGCTGCTTCCTCTGCCTTCTCTGCTAGCCTGTTCATGAATTCCTCCTTGTCTTTTCTTATTGATTTCTTGACATCTTTAGCTATTTGTCCTGTACTGCTCCAATTCATCCGCACTTGATCCTCTTGTTCTACTTGCATTCGCTTTTGCATTCAGCTGTCTTCTTATCCTAATTAAATCCAATGAGTGTTGGCTAATCCATTCCTTGTGCTCCCATTTCTTCCCACCGAGTACTTTTTGACATGTTGATGTAAAGACTTCTTTGACCTTGGTCCAGTGTGTATCCACCTCCGTGTCCTCACCACCAAGATCAGCCAGGGGTTGAAATCTGTTCCTCAGCTGCAGCTGAAACTCTTTTTTCTTGTGTCCGTCCAATAGACTTACTTGGAACTTCGTTCTTTTGATTCCTGTGCTGGTTCCGTGCTTTTTGAATC